AGGGCCCATATCAGGGAAAACAAAGGCTTCTTCGCTTTCTGTGAAAAACGTATGTTAATGTTTCAAAATGCAGCGTTACTCTCCAGTTCATAGCGTCCAGATCTGGAAACTGAACTGTGAACATTTTGAATTCACCGTATTTGTGATGTCACAAAAAACAATATGTACATATATCCACCTATTCAGCCTGCAGCAGATTAGCCCCGCCCACTCATGCTGAAGTTATAAGGAGCGTTTTAGTCTGGACTTCGTTTTGAATGTGGCGCAACACAGAGTAGCCAATCATAACACAGTCTGGGATAAAGAAAGGTCAGAAAATGGTGATGTACAAATCAAATTATGGTTATTTTGTGTACATAAAAGCACAAATGTTAATGATAAATGAATAAAATACTTGAGAAAATGATATGATACATATATGAAAGTGTATGATACGGACTCAGCAGGCTTACATTTACTATCGTACAGTTATAAACACATTTAATTTAGTTTTAAAAGAACAGAGCACAACTTTTCCTTGGTTTCACATTTGTGTGCACTCAGAATAGCTGTCCCTCCAACGCCCTTAATGTGACATCAGTGTTAATGTGTGTGAAATCTTAATTATGGGGACAATGATCTTCCGTGAGCGCTCAGATATGTTTTATGGGATTTGGTCTAAATCCCATGTGTCAAACACAAGGCCCACAGGCCAAGTCAGGCCTGTAGCACAATCCTATATGGCCCATAAAATCCTTTTAATTTTCTATTAATATTAGCCCATTTTACAACAAGCTGCCCTACAACCCCCAGCATGCACTGCTAAGTCCCCCAACAACAGTGTATGATTGACGGTTACACCACAAGAAGGAAAGATTTCAGGCATGTAGTTCAAGCAAATAGGCAGGTTTTAAAACCTACCACCTGTGGACATTTAAAGAGGTTTAACAGTTACATGCAGCTAATGTAGCTTATTGTTTTATAGAAATGATTTGATTTTATTTAAAATGGTTTTTGAATAGGTCAATATTTCACTCACTGATAGACCTACTGACAGACTGACTGGCAGACTCACTGATAGACTGATTAACAGACTGACTGACAGGCTGACAGACTCTCTGATTGACATACTGACAGACAGCCTGGCAGACTCACTGATAGACAGACTGACTGACAGGCTGACAGAGTCACTGATAGACAGATTGACAGACTGACTGACAGGCTGACAGACTCACTGATAGACTGATTGACATACTGACTGACAGGCTGGCAGACTCACTGATAGACAGACTGACTGACAGGCTGACAGAGTCACTGATAGACAGATTGACAGACTGACTGACAGGCTGACAGACTCACTGATAGACTGATTGACATACTGACTGACAGGCTGGCAGAGTCACTGATAGACAGACTGACTGACAGGCTGACAGAGTCACTGATAGACAGATTGACAGACTGACTGACAGGCTGACAGACTCACTGATAGACTAATTAGCAGACTGACTCACAGGCTGACAGACTCACTGATAGACTGATTGAGAGTCTGTCTCACAGGCTGACAGACTCACTGATAGACTGATTAACAGACTGACTGACAGGTTGACATTCCAACAGACTCACTGATAGACTGACTGACAGACTCACTGATAGACTAATTGACAGACTCAGTGCCAGACAAAGTGATCGACAGACTGGCTGACTGACCGACTGACTTTGTTATATATATTTGTTTTGGCATATTTTGAATAAACAATGGCCAATTTGTGTCGTATCAAAATGTGATTGAGTTTGACACCCCTGGTCTAAATGGATGAACTGCAAAACAAACAAGCGAAGAAATAAAAAACGTGTCAGTTCTGTCCCGAAGACCGTAGGCCAACAGACACTTGATGCTTTTTTTAAGGCCCCCTCCCTTCAAAAATCTTTCAAAACACAGAAGCGTGAGAAAGACTGCAGAAGCCAAAGAGCATGTTTGCAAAATTAAAACATTAAAAAATAAAGAAAATAAAGATAATCATGGGCAAACTGCTAGTGACAATGAGTAGGGAAGAGATTTAATATATTTTAAACATTTTGAATTTTAATTCTGAAGACTAGAGCCGGCATTTCATCATCAGCACTGTTTCAACCTTCTAATCCATCAACTAACAATATAAATGATGGAAAATAACGGATAAACAATGAAACGTGTCTTGGACGTACGACAGATTTAGAATGAGTTCCTGAGTCATCAGTGCAGAATCGTCTTTAGGAGTTCCTGTATAAAGACATTTAGTTGCTGATGCTTTTACATCTAATAAACAGACTTTAAGTCCTTTTCTGTAATAAAATCTGCAAGTTTGAATCCTTTTGTGATCTACAGATTGAGGTTTATTCATATTTCAGCCCCTTTACTGCCCCCTGTCAGACGGACAGACTGTGGGGGCCCCTTGGTTTGCTCATTTATTTAAGTGCAGCTCATAGAGGGGTGCTCACATCAGAGGCATTATTCACACTGACAGCCCCCCCACTATACATCCAGTTCACATCTGTTTACAGCTTAATGAGATTCATATATGCAAATGCACTGAGTACGATTTGGTTCCACTCTGAGTGGTCAGCTTTGGGTCAGAAACTGTACACGCAGGTCTAAGGTGCTAAAAAGAAGTCCAGAGTCCGCTGATAGTGCAGTTCCCCTGTCCTGCGTTTCAGAGTTTTCCTGCTCTCACTCCAAACGTTAAAGTCCTTTCTGATGATAAATTTGACGGAGCAGGAAAACACTACGCTGTGCAGGGCAGAGATCCGGATCAGGAACACGTCATTAGAACAACTAACAGCACATCAGGACGACTAAACACATCCTAGTGACTCTGACAGCACGACAGAGCTGATATTTAAAATAAGGAAACAGGCATGAACAGCTGGATGGGGATATAAGAAAGCATGTTTACTGCTGTCTGCCTATCAGTCTGTCTCTGTCAGTCTGTCTATTAGTCTGTTTGTCAGTCAATCTTTAAGCCAGTCTGTCTGTCTGTCAGTCAGCCAGTCTGTCTGTCAGCCTATCTGTCTGTCAGACAGTCTATCAGTGAGTCTTTCAGTCTGTCAGTCTATCAGTGAGTCTTTCAGCCTGTCAGTCACTCAGTCAATCAGTCTATCAGTGAGTCTGTCAGCTTGTCAATCTATCAGTGAGTCGCAGCCTGTCAGTCAGTCAGTCTATCACTGAGTCTGTCAGCCTGTCAGTCAATCAGTGAGTCTGTCAGCCTCTCAGTCAGTCTACCAGTGAGTCTGTCAGCCTGTGAGTCAGTCTGTTAATCAGTCTATCACTGAGTCTGTCAGCCTGTCAGTCAGTCTGTCAATCAGTCTATCAGCGAGTCTGCCAGCCTGCCTGTCAGTCAGTCTATCACTGAGTCTGTCAGCCTGTCAGTGAATCTTTTAATCAGTCTATCAGTGAGTCTGTCAGCCTGTCAGTCAATCAGTGAGTCTGTCAGCCTCTCAGTCAGTCTATCAGTGAGTCTGCCAGCCTGCCTGCCAGTCAGTCTATCAGCGAGTCTGTCAGCCTGCCAGTCAGTCTATCAGCGAGTCTGTCAGTAAGTCAGCCTGTCAGTCTGTGCTGGTTCCTCACCTGGGCGGTGCCGTGTTTTCTCCTGAAAGCTGAAGTGTGTGCGGTGTGGAAGAGCTGGAGTTCCTGCTCTGAGTCGGAGTCAGTGCTGCAGTATCCGCTGCTTGAGCTGCTCCACGACATCACGCATAAAACAGCCCACCAGCACAGCGGGACCCCCGCAGCACTGCTGCTCTGACTGTGTCTGCGGTGAGGATGTGCTGAGTGCTGCAGCCTAGTGAAATTTAACCCCGCCCCCTCTCTGCCCCCACCCAATCACACGGTTTATTACACCAGGAGACCCCCATCATTCACACCACAGACAAATCACTTAGCAAATATGTGAAAATGTATAGTTGCCTTTATAATAACACAACATCTGCCTTAATACAGGATTACACTATAATGTTAATCTGTATATATATATATATACATCTCACTGTTGTCAGAACAGAACCTCACATCTCCATTTCTTTCTATCTCTAAATGTCTGTTGACCTTTATGTCGTGTGTCCATGTCATGATGAATGGAAATGGCCTAGTCTGGTTACACTGACGTACATTAAAAGTAAAGTATGTATATATATATTTTAACAAGTCAATTGACATATATATAAAGATATATATATATATATATATATATATATACAAATATATATATCATGTTTTAACATTCATTTTAACAAGTCAATTGATATTTTTTCCTCCTTTTTCCTCTTGAAACGTTTCTTTTTGCAAATTATAAGAAGAAAATCAGTTGGCTGACTTTTAATATCATTAATATTATTAGCTTTTAATAGCATTTTTGAAATGATACATAATTAAATATAAATTTATATTTAGTACACAAAATTATCCAAATGTCACTAATATAATATATATTATTATATTATTGTCACTAACATATATATATATATATTTCTCTTTGTATGGCTGAGTTCCTGCCCTAATTAGCTTTAGCTCTGACCAGCTGTCTGCACTACTGCCCCTCCACCACCCTTAACTCCTCAGAGACCCCCCCTCACCCACAACCGCCACTCCACAGAAACCCCCTCTCACCCACAACCGCCACTCCACAGAAACCCCCTCTCACCCACAACCGCCACTCCACAGAAACCCCCCCCCTCACCCAGCACTTCATTACATTACCGCATTATCAAACATGACATTCACACTGAGGCCCGTTCCTCTATCACTGCACATCTACAGCACAGCTCATTTACATACCTCAGTCTTAAAGACACAGGAGCCACGACTGCCTGTTCAAGCTTTAGTACATAAAATCACTACTCAAAAATCACTGATATCATTTGAAAAAATAAAAACAGATACACAGGGCACGTATGCAGGGCCCCACAGACTCTTAAATGAAGGAAAATGCAATATGATTTGATTTGCTTAATTAAAAAAATAATACTAAAAGCTTCCCAGTCAGCCAACTGGCTTTCTATTTATAATTTGCAAAAACAAACTTTTCAAAAGGGGAAAACCCCAATATGTTAAACTGAGCAAATACACAGTAATTGAGCATTAAAATGTGCGTCTCTGTAGAGGATGTGTAACTTATTTACGGGGATGTTTGACCAGGAGGTGTTCCAACGTTTACGACTGTGAGTGGAGCTCAGAGAAAAACATGGATTATACTGTATGTAAGATGTGGTTTATGGGCTTTTTAAAGTAATAACGCTCTGTTTAGGTGAACTCAGTATTCAGAGTGAATGAAGAGACTGTCTAAACATGTGGCAAAGAAATCTATTAGTCACTGAAATGAAAAGTGAGAATTTGGATCTTTTCCACTTTTCTGACTGTGAAAGAATAAAAACTGAACAGCTGCTTTATTGTCAGGATGCCTTTCACTCTTCCTCATCAGCGCTGCTGTAAATCGAGCATGTCGTAAACTGAGGCGTTTGGGGTGAGGGGGGTTAACTCACTCCGCCCCCTCCATCTGACATCAGACGCGATTAGACACACAAACGTCTACTAGTGGGGTAAAAATGTATTACACATTATACATATATAATAATATACATTCTAACAATATATATATATATATATATATATATATATATATATATATATATATGCTCAAAATGAGTGAACACATATTTTAATTTTGACTACTTTATATATATATATTCATCTATTTTCAAATAAATAAATGAATGAACAGATGAACAACTGAATTAATGAACTAACCAGGCAACAAAATGGCACAAAAAGCTGTTATAACTAATGTTATTAGTTATTGTGTTATATTATTTCAATTAACAATTGCTATTAAGGAAACTACTGTGACTGCGGACAAGAAAGAGCAGAATAAGTTGTCCATTAAAATAGCATAAATCTAATACTAGTAACTGTGATAACCAGCAGGGATCCTGCAGGCCCTTCTAACCTTTATAGAACACCTGATGAAATAAAGAAATATACCTGTAATTTTTAGTTCATTTTTATTTAATAGTATTATCATGCCCCTGCGATGGACTGGCGACCTGTCCAGGGTGTATCCTGCCTTCCGCCCAATGACAGCTGGGATAGGCTCCAGCACCCCACCACGACCCAGAAGGATAAGCGGTTTAGATGATGTATGTATGTAAGTATTGTAGTAACACTCTTATTTCATTGTTAAGTTTAGGTTGGAAACAAAAGGGTAAAAATCTTGAAATGGCCAGCAGAAGATTGTCCAATCAGGATTGTTTTCTCTGTGTTACCTAGGTAGATTCAGCCATGCTGCTCTCCTATTGGTTAGGACTTCAGGAGCTGGACTGAAGGTCATACACGTTAGATTAACTACCAACATAATTATGAAGTGACTGAGCACAGTGTATGTACATAGTACATATACACATATAAATACAACCAAGCTAGCATTAGAGTACACACTGTCAAAAGATGGCTCTTCAAGGGTTCTTTAATAAAGAAAATGGTTCTATATAGAACCATGAATACGCGAAGAACCCTTTGCATGATTAAATGGTTTGTTGCATCATGAAAGAGTTTTTCAGATTGATGGAAAAGCTACCAACATAATTAGGAAGTGACAGAGGAGTCAACCAATCACACTCTGACACTCTTACAATGCGACTAATAAAATAGCATCACTCTAGACCTTCTGGAAGTTCTAGATATGTCACTGACTGTGAATGTGAGCCGTAGTCTGAACAGGTTCCAGTTAGTTGTTAGGAATGTTAAACAGTGGCGGCACTGTTTAACATACAAGCTCAGATATATATTAATGTCTGTTACAAGCTCCAGATATAACATATAGAACGACTTTAGTTCCAAATGTCTGTTTAATCTAGAACGGTCAAAAAAAGATCGTGTGCATGGCTGTTAGCTTAGCGCTAACATACTACAAAAATCCCATAGGGAGGCTAACATAAATTAGCATTGTTTTAGAGCCGTTTTTTTTTCTATTGTTGATCAAGCTTTGACATTTATGGCCCAAAATTAACGCCTAGGTCAAGTAAGTCACGGTTCTATCACTGGTAACAACATACAACTAAGCAATAGAACACGAGAGGGAGTGTGTCATCGCGAAATAACACCACGGCTGTGATTTGGTCGCCTTAGATCATCACAGCCGTGATGTTATTGGCGATAACACACTCCTCGAGTGTTCTATTGCTTTTATACAGCAGTTAAATAAATAAAGTAATAAATTAATAAACTGGGCTGTGAACGCGGCGTTTAATATGTTTTAATGTTCGCAGTTCCTTCACCAAATTATAGTTCCTTAACAAGCAGCTTGTTGCTACATCAGAGCAACGAGCTCCGCCCATTCGCTGCACAGCCGGCAGTTCGTTCTCCAGCTCCTTACACTAAATTCCCAAACTGTCATCACCACTGAGCAGCTTTTCAGTCAGCAGCTGTGACAGAAGAACAGCTAAACAACCTGGAATCAGGCAGAAATGAACCCAATACCATTCGCCAAGCGTGTAGTCTGATCTTCAGAGTCTGACCGAATCGGACTGAGCCATAAAACTGCCACAATATCAAGTTTAGCTCGGTTTTGTCAGTTTTTGCCAGATCAGTATTAATGTTGTTTTGTTCCAGCCAGTCTGTAAAGCATCTTACAGCTCATTTAGTTTGGCGAATGGTGTTGGGTTCATTTCTGGCTGATTCCAGGTTGTTTAGTTGTTCTTCTGTCACAGCTGCCGACTGAAAAGCTGCTCAGTGGTGATGACAGTTTGGGAATCTAGTGTCGTCTCATCTTCAGAGTCTGACCAAATCGGCTGTCGGTCAAATGTGATCTTAAAAGTGTCCATTTTCTGTTTGTGGCAAAGAGAGAAGTAAAAACGTTCAGATGGCTTGAGCGTCTCCTACAGCTGTCAAAGCTGTTGCTTAGCAACGGCGTCTCAGCAGAGTGATACAGTGTTTATGAAAAAATAATGCTTCTCAACCAATCAGCTTGTGTGGCTGGAACTAACTGAACCAACTATAAAGTGTAATAACTTGCAGTACTTTTAGTTTTAATACTTAAAGCTAGGGGATTTGGAGACGACTCTCATGAACATAAGGTTGGTTTCGCAGGTTTTGAGACCTAAACTTTGAGCCAGACCATTTTTTGCACCTGTGTGTGTGATGTTATTACGCAAAGAGCAGTTTGAGTGAACTTTTCAGTGATTTACAGAAAAGATTTGGTCTATTTACTTCTAGAGTTTGTTAGCAAGGTTAGCCTCGTAGTTCCAGCACTAAACTGAAAACTTGGCTCACTGACTGCACGTGAGGTGGAAAACTGAAGTGATAATCGTTTCAGTCAGTAAAGCACTGTTTAACTAAAACTATTGGAGCATAAGATTAAAATCTATAGTATAAATACAAAATTATGTTGGTTATCGGAATTTCTGGCACCTTAAAATTGTCATCAGTCTCGGGCACAAAATATCCGGCCTTCAGACGGGAATTGGGAAATGCTGCTTTGGAGGAATTCTGACTTACTATGTTAGTGTCCGTCTCAATGTCCTCGCAGTAGTCCGGCTGTCCAGCTGCAGCTTCAGGGTGTGAACTGCAGTCTAGCTGGATAAACGGCTGACAGCGGAGATGACAGGTGTACCTGCAGTCTGGACAAACACAAACAAATAAACAACGTGCCTCAATCTGAGAAGAGTCTCAGCAATCAGGCCTGCAGCAAATTTAAATATGCAGTCTGGCCGAAAATCCGCGCTCTAGAACTACTATACCCAGCATGCACAACCATGGGGAATCACTGTGGTGTCAACCAATCCCGACTGCTAGCACATCCACTGAGCTATAACCATAAATACATATACAAACATATACATATATGAACACAACCAAGCTAGCATTAGTATACATGCTTAAAAATGGTTCTTCCAAGGTTCTTTATTAAAGAAAATGGCTCTATATAGAACCTTGAACATGCAAAGAACCCTCAGGATGATTAAATGGTTCTCTGCATCATTAAAGGTTCCTTAGACTGATGGAAAATATGTTACTTATGTTTCTATATACCTTTTTGAAAGGACTTCGTTATAGCACCAAAAAGGGTTCTTCTACTGTAGCGATATCTAGCTTGTAACAATAGACGAACCCTTGTTGGCGCTATATAAAGCCTTTTTCCAAAAGGTTCTCTGTAGATCCATTCTCCATCAATCTGAAGAACCCTTTCAGGATGCCTAGAACTGCTTAATCATGCAAAGGGTTTGAGTGTTCATGGTTCTATATAGAACCATTTTCTTTACTAGGGAACCCTTGAAAAAACCTTTTTAAGAGTGCAGCTCAAACCTTTAGCTCAAGCGTTAGGTGCCTATTTTTTACCCTTTTAGCCAAAGAAAAGGAGCCAAACTGAGGTATCTAGTTTTAGGTGACTTTAGCTGAAGCATAAACAGTCAAAGAACCCTCTGTATGATTTAACGGTTCCTTCCATCATGAAAGGGTTCTTCAGACTGATGGAAAATATGTTACTTAGGTTTCTATACAGAACCTTTTTGGAAAGACTTCTATATAGCAACAAAAAGGGTTTTTCTGTTGGAACAATAGACGAACCCTTGTTGGCGCTAGATAAAGCCTTTTTCAATAAGGTTCTATGTAGATCCATCTACAGCACATTCTCTATCAATCTGAAGAACCCTTTCACAATGCACAGAACTGCTTAATCATGCAAAGGCTTCTTTAAGTGTTCACGGTTTTAAATAGAACCATTTTCTATACTAAAGAACCCTTGAAAAATCTTTTGGGTACCAAACTGAGGTATCTAGTTTTAGCTGATTTAAGCTGAAGCATGAACACTCAAAGAACCCTTTGTATGATTATCGGTTCCTTCCATCATGAAACGTTCTTCAGACTGATGGAAAATATGTTACTTAGGTTTCTATATAGAACCTTTTTGAAAATACTTCTATATAGCACCAGAAAGGGTTCTTCTGTTGTAACGATATGTAGCTTGTAACAACAGAAGAACCCCTTTTGGTGCTATATAGAACCTTTTTCAAAAAGGTCCTATGTAGATCCATCTACAGCACATTCTCCATCAGTCTGAAGAACCCTTTCATGATGCACCGAACTGCTTAATCATGCAAAGGGTTTGAGTGTTCATGGTTCTATACAGAACCATTTCCTTTACTAAGGAACCCTTGAAGAACCATCTTTTAGTTGAAGAACTCTAGCTATTAATTTTGGTACCTAGTTTTTATCCTTTTAGCCAAAGAAAAGGAGCCAATCTGAGGTATCTAGCTTTAGCTGACCTTAGCTTTTAGCTTGTTGTCCTTCTCATCTGATCATATCTTTCGTTTGAGTAATCAATTCTCTCCACTAATGATGATTAGAGATCAGTTACTAAAGCTACGTACATTTCCGCCCCTTTACCTCAAATATAGTTCATAATGTTTGGTGTCTGATGTGTCTGATGGTTAAAATGCTGTCATAAATTGCTATAAACATATTTAACATTCTTAGCCATTTAACACCATTCACTTCATCCACTGAAGACTCTCTCTGGCGCCCTCTAGCGTTTGATAGTCCCCTAAACTGGCTCTGGTGAACTGCATAACAGAGTTTGGGGTCAGATAGAGTTTACTATTTCACATCTGCGCCATCTAGTGGACAAATAAAGACTTTTAAGAGGCATTCCATACGTTTCGAGATACAAACAAGGTCATTCAGAGTGGTTTGGTGTGAAATGGTTCAGATGTCTTTACAGTGGTGGTGATAGGAACCAGGGGTCGCCATGACTACAACCACAAATATAGACATTTTATTTACTATCCAAAACCACCAGTGAACCTACACGAGTCTTCTGAGTTTATATGGAATGTTGATGATGGGAAATAGTGGAAAATGTGAAATAAGTTTTCTTTGGGGACTATTTTGCCTCATAACACCCTGCCTATATCCCTTCACTGTGAATGTGGTTAAAATTATTGTAAACCAGTGTCTCAGTCATCAGGCAGTGAATTCATAACCATTTCATGTAGTAACTTTCTGTGAAGGAGCTTTTAGAGGTGGACGTCTGGTTCCTATCACCACCACTGAGCGACCACTTTGAGTAACGAGTGGAAATCTCCTTTAAACTTTTGGCTCACTTGGCTGGATGATTAATTCATTTGTAGTCTGTTGTTGTCTAACCCACTTTATCTCTTCAGGCTTCAGGCAACAACATCAAGTGACATTCTGCTTTTGCTCCCGATTATTCCTCACCCTCCATTTCACACATCAGAAACTAAGGGGTGGGCAATATGACAATATGTTAACATTATCATTATATATGCTTATATATTCCTTTTCTGAGTATGTGCTGAGTACAGTTGGTACTTCTAATACTGCTTAGTAACAAGTAGAGGTGGGTGATATGGCAAAAACATTATATCATGATACAAACACATTATCACAATACACAATATGCATCTTGATGTTTTGTTTTTCTTAAATGTTTTCTTTTTCTTAGATTTCTCAGAGTTTAAACTCACAAAATAGAACCTAAACATATCATAATAACAACAAAAACAATAAAAAACTCAACTACAACTATTTTAATTCAGCGTTTTACAAACTGTGCTGCACTAAATCCAATTAAACAGGCTTAATTCTCACTCTTCATAATAAAATGTGTATTTAGTCAGTGTTCTTCAGTATGATATCCACAATATGCTCAGAAAAGCCTATTGTGACATAATCTACTATGATAACGATGAAATATTGTCATACTGCCCACCCCTAGTAAAAGGTAGCTGATTGGACGGCAGCCCATTATGACATTATTGTATTTTATTTCCCTTAATTTAAAGAAATCTATATTCCACATTTTCCTTTATGATATTTATGTTTAGTTTTATGTAGCAAAAACACTCATTATTATTTTTTTTTACTTTACCTCTCTTTATTCATTAGTATTAAACAGGCTGTTACTGTGCCTTCAAGACTGAAATATGTAAATGAGCTCTGTTCTGATTGGCTGTGGCTCATTTGAAAAGCAGTCCAGGCTAAAATATTTCAAAGGAAACATATCCTTACTGGTTTTACTCGATCTTAGTGCAGATTTTGACACAATAGACCATTCCATTCTATTAGACAGGCTTGAGAAACTAGTAGGAGTGACAGGTAAAGCTCTTTCACAGTTCAAATCTTACCTTAGTGATCGCTTTGAGTTTGTTAATGTAAATGGTGAATCATCAGCTCTCACAAGAGTAAAGTGTGGTGTTCCTCAGGGCTCTGTCTTAGGACCCATATTATTTACCTTATATATGCTACCACTAGGTACCATCATTAGAAAACATGGCATCAGTTTCCACTGCTATGCCGATGATACACAATTGTATATTTCAGCTAAACCAGAGGACAAAATTGAACTTAATAAGATAGAGGACTGTGTCAAAGACATTAAAGACTGGATGTGGAGTAACTTCCTCTTACTAAATTTGGACAAAACAGAAGTTCTTCTTCTTGGTCCAAAAGCTGCTAGGGATAATCTGCCTACGTTTGCTCTTAATCTCGATAGTTTCTCAGTTGCACCAGACACATCTGTAAAAAGCCTTGGTGTCACGATCGATCCCGATCTGGCCTTCGATGAGCATATTACCAATATTACCAGAATAGCTTCCCTCCACCTGCATAACATCGCTAAATTAAGAAATGCACTGTTGCTACTGTACTAGCGTTCTTGGTTCAGTCCAGATTTTTACTCAGGATATTGTTAACAAACCCTGGAAAAATATAATGATATATTAAATTGCACTTGTTGCATGAACTAATGTTACATTTATGTCTATAGCATTTATTTCTATGAACTAAAAAATCGGTTTTCACTCCAAATGTGGACCAGAAACAAAATATAAGGGAATATTTTTTCCTCCTGCTATTCGGAATGTCTGAAGATTACAGCTATTATCGGATTGTTTTCTTGAGTGAAAGCTAAAAATCTCGTGCACGTTCGCTTGCAGCAGTATCGCATATGCTATCTATATAAACATCCCCTTCCTATTGGCCTGAGCTTCCTCAGAGGACGTTATCTGTGGCCGCTGCGCGTGTTTAATGTGATTGAACACAAACACACACACACACACACACACACACACACACACACACACACACACACACACACTCTTATCAGCCCCCTCCCAGGCCTCCTGCCTTCTCACTCAAATCTGTAAACCATATCTGGTCTACTTCAGAGGAAGCAGAGAGAAGTGGAGGCTGTAACTGCTTTGCTTTAGCACCACGTTTTACTAATGATCAAGCCTTTTATGAGAGGAGGGGAAACTCTGAGCAGTGAAAAAGCTTGGGGGGAAAATCTCATTTACACCAAAAATCTCTGGTGGATCAGCCAAGACAGGTTTGGTGTCTGAAGTTTAAAGCTACAGATAGAGCTGCCACCTGTCCAGCGTTTGTCTGGATCGTCATGGATGCTGGATATTTGTCGGGAAAAAAAAAATTCCCTTCCTGGACACAAAAATACAGACTATTTACATTACACACTTAAAAAAAGATTCTCTTTAAGGGTTCTTTAGTAAAGAAAAAGGTTCTATATTGAACCATGAACACTCACCGAATGTGCTGTATATGGTTCTATATAGCACCTTTTTGAAAAGGGTTCAATATAGCACTAAAAAAAGGTGTCTTCTATTGTAACAAGCTTGACATTGTAACAATAGAACCCTTTTTGGTGCTATATAGAACTACAGCACATTCTCCATCAATCTGATGTAATTTAATCATGCAAAGGGCTCTTTGAGTGTTCATGGTTCTATATAGAACCATTTTCTTCACTAAAGAACCCTTAAAGAGAACCATCATTTTTAAGTGTGTATACAGCACCAAAAAGGGTCCTTCTATTGACACAAGCCTGACATCGTAACAATAGCACAACCTTTTTGGTGCTATATAGAACCATTTTTAAACATACAACATGTTCTCCATCAATCTGGAGAACGGTTTCACCATGCAAAGAACCATTTAAGTGTGAAGTGGTTGTATACAGAACTCATGGTTCTAAATAGAACCATCCTTTTTAAGTGTGTAACATTTCTTATGAGGTTTAAACTGCTTCTCTGTATACGAGCCTCAGGTCAGTGTGGAAGGTGCCCTGTCGGTCTTTAAATTAAATATTTAAGGTAATGTAAGTATTAATTTTACAAGTGTAAATTTAGGGGTTAGAGTTTGGAACAGGCACCTCCCAACATAAAGTACCCTATAAACAATGATTTCGTATATAATTAGCTTATTACTATCTCTATTAATGCCTTGGGTTTAAATAGACCAGAACATTTTCTATATATATATATATATATATATATACATATATATATAACGTGGAAGCACACACTTAAAAAAATGGTTCTTCAAGAGTTCTTTAGTAAAGAAAATGGTTTTATATAGAGGATTCTTCAAATGGATGGAAATTGTGTTTTATATGGTTCTATAAAGAACCTTTTTGCAAAGGGTTCTATATAGCACCAAAAAGTGTTCTTCTATTGTTGCAGGCTTGACATCATAATGATAGAAGAACGCTTTTTGGTCCCACATTGAACCTTTTTAAAAAAGGTTCTATACAGCACCATCTACAGCACATTCTCCATCAATTTGAAGAACCATTTCACGATGCAAAGAACCCTTTAATCATCAAAGGGTTCTTTGAGTGTTCACGGTTTTATATAAAACCATTTTCTTTACTAAAGAACCCTTAAAGAACCATCATTTTTAAGAGTGCAGATCAAGAACAACGTGTCGTCGGGGGAGGGGGGGAGAACCATGAGATGGTTTGTGACTCACTGGTGCAGCGCAGGCTCTGTTTGTACAGTCCCCAGATGAACTCTCCACACAGGTCACACCAGGTCAGCTGGGTGTAGCTGCACGGCTGGAAGTCGTGTCCCTCTCCTCGTCTCCCAGTGACCCACCGCACGTCCTCCAAACTCACAGAATCACCCACCAGTCGCACCGCAAAGGACTGCTGGAGTCGCTCTGGACCCTTCTCCACCCACGCCTGCGGTACTGCGGCGGGTCCACCGGGGGGCTGCCAATTCAATCCCATCATTGGGGGTTAAATCCTTCAGTTCAATCAGCTCCCACTTGGCCATACTGGGTCTGACACACACACAGCAGGGTTACACTCACAAATGAGCCCTTAGATGTGTGGAGTTATTGTCTTTCAGCCACATATTTGATTCGCTACACACTGATCAGGCATAACATTCTGACCACCTTCTTGTTTCTACGCTCATTGTCCATTTTATCAGCTCCACTTACTATATAGGTGCACTTTGTAGTTCTACAGTTACAGACTGTAGTCCATCTGTTTCTCTGCATACTTTGTTAGCCCCCTTTTACCCTGTTCTTCAGTGGTCAGGACCCCCATGGACCCTCACAGAGCAGGTACTATTTGGGTGGTGGATCATTCTCAGCACTGCAGTAACACTGACGTGGTGGTGGTGTGTTAGTGTGTGTTGCACTGGTCTGAGTGGATCAGACACAGCAGTGCTGCTGGAGTCTTTAAACACTGTGTCCACTCACTGTCCACTCTATTAGACACTCCTACCTTGTCAGTCCACCTTGTAGATGTAAAGTCAGAGACGATAGCTCATCTGCTGCTGCACAGTTTGTGTTGGTCATCCTCTAGTCCTTCATCAGTGGTCACAGGACGCTGCCCACAGGACGCTGCCCACAGGACGCTGTTGGCTGGATATTTTTGGTTGGTGGACTATTCTCAGTCCAGCAGTGACACTGAGGTGTTTAAAAACTCCAGCAGCACTGCTGTGTCTGATCCACTCAGACCAGCGCAACACACACTAACACACCACCACCACATCAGTGTTACTGCAGTGCTGAGAATGATCCACCACCCAAATAGTACCTGCTCTGTGAGGGTCCATGGGGGTCCTGACCACTGAAGAACAGGGTAACAAAGTATCAGAGAAACAGATGGACTACAGTCTGTAACTGTAGAACTACAAAGTGCACCTATATAGTAAGTGGAGCTGATAAAATGGACAATGAGCGTAGAAACAAGGAGGTGGTCAGAATGTTATGCCTGATCGGTGTATAATATAAAATAATATTTCTTCATAATTAGCTACACAGCCAGTTATGTAATGTCTTAATGGCTATTATTACATAATTAATGGCTATTCTGTAATGTGTTTATTACATTCTGTATCAACCAGTTCAAGTCCGCACTTGTACCTGACCAACTGAGTCCGAGAGATCGTAATTGTCTTCTCACTCTCTGGGAGGGCAGGATGGTCCTGCCTCTTCCCATCACTCTTCACAATGCTGACCAGTGTAGCTGGTAGCTGACTGTTAGCTGACATGAAAGAATTAGCATGTAGCATTCTATTCTAAGTATGTTGAGCTCCAATAACGCTGTGTTAGTGGCCGTTTGAAAAGATGTGGTGGAGCTTCACGTGTCTCAAAGGACTCCAGGTGCACCAGCTCACCTGGGGGACCACCACAGCCCACCGACCTATCAGCAACTGCAGTGGTTACAGTTAAGAAACTACAACAAAACCTGATTTGTCTGATTAGTTCTGTGTCTGAATTAGCAGTTAGCATTCTCTGAAACCTGTCTGACCAAACAGGTTTATTAAAAGGAAAAAGAACCACATAAACAACAGAGATACTGAAAAACTCCATACGGTTTTAGACGAGTGAGTGGTAATTTAGACATGCGGTTAGCATCATGCTAACTGTTGCTCCATTACTTCCATTACTTCTTAGCTACATTAGCCTTTCACCAAACCCCAGCAGTGCTCCACAGCTCCACCATTCCCAGGTGGCCCTGAAGTGTCCAGCTCTGTCATACCTGCATGTTTAGAAGTCTGAGGAGTCAATGATGACGTCGACACTGAGGTCAAAGGTCAAGCCTGTCACTCTTTTCCAGTCAGTGATTTTGGTTCTCCTGCTTCACTCAGAGGAGGAAAACATTTCCTCTGTCCATCCGATTGGTCAACATCTGGATTATTCTGCAGACAGACACAGAGATTAAATTAGACTGCGACTCTGGAAGATTACAGCAGAATTCAGGCCTAATCTGACCACTATAATCCTTTACAGAGCCACAGAGCTGCTCTCAGCATCGCCGACACGATCGTGAGTGATACTGCAAAGAGCACGGCATGTACTGACTCACTCAGTCCCCCATTTTATTAATAATAACAAGAACTACAATAATAATAATAATGATAATAATAATAATAATAATAATAATACCTAGAAAAAAGCATTTCCTGAAGAAAATGCAGAATCAATTCCAAGGTAGCTGTTAGGGTGTTTCCCGGTGGTTACTATGTTTTTTTAGGAAAGTGGTACAGTATCTCAGGTGGTTGCTAAGGTGTTGCTAAGTGGTTGCTATTGTATCCCAGGTGTTTATTAAGGTGTTGCTAGGTAGTTGCTATGGTATCCTAGGTGGTTGTAAGGCATTGCTAAGTGGTTGCTATTGTGTACCAGGTGGCTATTAAGGTATTGCTAGGTGGTTGCTTTGGTATCCTAGGTGGTTACGAGGGTGTTGCTAGGTGGTTGCTAAGGTATCTAGGTGGTTACTATGGTATCCCTGGTTGTTTCTAGGAGGTTACTAGGTGGTTGCTAGGTGGTTGCAATGGTATCCTAGGTGGTTGCTAGGTGGTTGCTAGGTGGTTGTATCTTACATGGTTAATAGGGTGTCATTAATGGACTAATACCATCATGACATAAACTGGGTGCACAAACTTTTGCTCCTCATTCATTTTTATAGGGAAATAAAATCACATAATTGTACAAAAACCATATGTTCAATCTGCAGGACGAGTTAGTGGACAAAAATCAGAAGAAGAAGAAGAAAAAGAAGAGGAAGAAGAAGAAGAAGAAGAATGAGAATATACATCAGTTAAGTGCTTGCAAAGCTTTGCGCAAAGAAAGCGAAATAGAAACTGATATAAGAGAACAGTAACTAGAGACAATAAAATTGAAAAATTTTAAAAAATTGAAAATAATAAAGTAATAATAAAAAAACAAAAGAGTAATAATGATACTGAGTAAAACAAGGAATCATCTCAGGCACAAAAAAAGATTAAAATGACTATCACTAATAATAACACCGTCAAATGATTTGAAATCCAGAGAAAGACTAAAGTGAAAAATGTTTTAAGCTGCTTTTAAAATGTTCCATCATCAGTGACTCTACACAGCGAGAAGAACGAGCAGATCTACGTCCTCGTTTGTTCTTTCCAGAGCCCACAGAACGGTGAGAGACGGCTGACATTTGGCTTTGTCAACATTAAAGTCGACACTACACTGGCAACGTTTTTAAAGCCACAGTTCAGCTAAAAGACTATATTTGTGTTGTAGTCATGGCGACCCCTGGTTCCTATCACCACCACTGTAAAGACATCTGAACCATTTCACACCAAACCACTCTGAATTGCTCTGATTACATCTCACACACCTAATTATGCAGAAATTTTGGAAAAAGTGGTGGAATACCCCTTTAAAAACTCTGAGCTGAGTGAAATGGTAAAAATGCAACATCGTAATACACAGTATGTTAAAAGAGTCAAAAACTATGAAAACAATGATTTGTAGTCAATATTTCACACACTGTGCTGCACTCGAATTAATCTAATTAATCAGGAATGATAATGATCTCCTTGTAATCAAACATGAAGCCGGGAAGTGTTTTTAAGTACTAAAGATATTCAGGATATGCTCGTAAAAGCATATAGTGACATCATTTATCACGATAAAGATCAATATTGTCACATTGCCCAGCTCTGGTTTGAGGCCAGGTATATTAGCTACATTAGCCTCGTAGCTCCAGCGTAAAACTAAGACACCAAGCATGTCTTGGCTGATCCACTACATTTTGGGTAAAAAGAGGAAAACTGGACAATCTGAAGGGGAACTCCACCAATGTTTCAAAAATTCGCCGTAATTAACTGGTTAATATGTAAACAGAGTCGTTCAGAGTGGTTTGGTGTGAAACGCTCTGTTCTAGAGAAACTCAGTCAGAACTGTTCACAGTGGTGGTGATAGGAACCAGACGTCCACCTCTAAAAGCTCCCTCAAAGAAAGTTACTGCATGAAATGGTTATGAATTCACTGCCTGATGTCTGAGACACTGTTTTATTTTGGCCTTAAAATCCATTTATAGTGGAGGGATACATGCAGGGTGTTGTGAGGCAAAATAGTCCCCCAAGAAAACTCATTACTTCAGATTTTCCATCATCAAATAAATAAAGTGTAAATAAAATGTCTATATTTGTGTTGTAGTCATGGCGACCCCTGGTTCCTATCACCACCACTGTAAAGACATCTGAACCATTTCACATCAAACCACTCTGAATCTCTCTGTTTACATCTCACACACTGAATTATGCAGAAATTCTGAACAGTTGGTGGAATTCTCCTTTAACTCTGTGCTCAACTATTCCTTTAGATGGGGCCCTGTGAGCTGAGGAGGGGTCATCAGTATGCGGGATGGTGCTGGGAGGTGTGTGAGTTTCTCAGGACCCTGTTTTGGCCACAGGCCTAATCCAGACACCCCCAAAAGGGCCCACAGAGGGCACTCACACTGCTCACACTGCTCACCCTGCTCACACTGCCCGGCTTCAGAGTGAGCAGAATGAGCTGCTCTGTGCCAAATGGGTCACAGCAAGGCAGAGAAATAATGAAATAATGCATTCAATAATTAGAGCATAAAGCAGGTGCTGTGCTGCTGTATCTCTGTAATAAACTGAAATAAAACCATCTCAGAGCGTTTAAAGCTCAAACCATACAGGCTTCACAGTTTAGTGCCTCTCAGCTGACCGTGAGGATGAGTGGACACAGCTGTACTTACCTCGAACTGCCCGGACTGACGACCGTGGAGCATTTAGCTGGAAGAAAAGCGCTTCTGTGACCAAAAAAATGAGCTGAAATCCTCCCGACTGACTGACCAGCGGCCACTTTCAGTTCCTCTGAGTGAAAACCCGCTTCAGTAAAACTGAAACGCTGAAATTCCTCCTCAGAAAAAGCTCCTCAGTCTCCGCGCTGCTCTGTTCAGCCTCTGTGGGAAACGCGGACCGTTCGTCCATTCTACACACACACACACACACACACACACACACACACGAGCGCGAGCGCGCACTCTGCCGGCTGCGCACACTGCGCGTGCGCGCCTCGCTCAGATTAGCAGTAATCCCGGATTAGCGGCTGTCCTGATTCATACAGAGACGGACAGAGAGAGAGAGAGAGAGAGAGAGAGAGAGAGAGAGAGAGAGAGAGAGAGAGAGCAGTATATCTCTCTCTTTCGGCTTCTCTCTTGCTTCTCTCTCCCTCTCTCCTCTCATTCTTCTCTCTTCTTTTTCTCTCTGTGTCTCTGTTCCTCTTTCCCTTCACTGTCTGTATCTCTCTCTCTCCTCTCATTCTTCTCTCCGTCTCTCTCTTTCTCCCTCTCGCATTCATGTTTTTCTCTCTCTCCCTCTGTTCTTTTTCTCTCTCTGTATCTCCCTCTCTCCTGTCATTCTTCTGTCTATCCCTCTGTTCTCTCTCTCTCCCTCTCTCATTCTTCTCTGTCCTTCTCTCTCTCTCCTCTCATTCTTCTGTCTCTCCCTATGTTCTCTCTTTTTTATTCTTGTCTTTCTCTCTCTCTCTGTCTTTCTCTCTCTGTCAATTTTTTCGTCTCTCCCTCTCATTGTTCTCTCTCTTCTCTTTTTCTCTGTCTCTCTCTGTTCCTGTCCTCTCTCCCTCCACTCTCTGTATCTCTCTCTCCCTCTCTCCTCTCATTTTCTCTCTCTCTCTCTCTCTCCCTCTCTCTCTCTCTCTCCCTCTCTCCTCTCATTTTCTCTCTCTCTCTCTCTCCCTCGCTCTGATTTGTTCAGTTATTGGAGTATGTGATGATGTACCCCCCCCCAAGTATTAATATAAACTGAGCCTAATAAAGATTCTCTGCATCAGAGGAGCTGTGTGTGTGTGTATGTGTATGTGTGTGTGTGAGTGTGTGTGTGTGTGTGTGTGTGTGTGTGTGTTTAAAAATCAGTCCTGCAGTCTGGAGACACAACACCAGTTAAACCAGGAGGATATTACAGATATTATATCATATTCAAAACAAATAAACACAAACTCAATAACAGTTATTACTGTGTAACAGCAATAAATATGCAGTGGTAATACTAACTATAATAATTATTTGTACTTACTGTTTTTGAACATCTATCATCATCATAGTCATCATAAACACATATAGAGACAGAACTTCACAAAATTTAGAGACCACCTTTTATTTATTTCATTTCCAAAAATCAGTCTAAGGAGATCAGATATGAGATAATTCACCTGTGTAATGAAGAAGAAAGTCAATGGAAAACAGGAGTTTCCAAAACTGGAGTTCAAAGCTACAGAGAAAATGTAGCTCCTAACAACCACCTGGAAGACCTGTAGACCCCAAAACTGCCCCCATCAGATAAACAGCACTTAAAGCTTTCATCTCTGAGAGAGAGGAGAAAATCAAGCTGCTTCAGATCTGAAAACATCCACAGGTGTTTCTGTCCATCCTTCCACTGTGAGAAGACGACTCTGTGGGTCTGAAAGGATGTGTAGCTGTCAAGAAGAACCTCACTGAGAAAAGGAGACAGACACATCAAACAAAGAAGCTGAACGATGGACTGACCACCCCAGAGTCCAGACCTCAACACCACTGAATGTGTTTGATTACTTCAGAAAATGATCAACCAGCTTCTAAGACTGAACTTTGGAGGTGTGTCTGCAGATTCTTTGAGGAACTGAAAGCGACAAAAAAGAAGACACAAGGTTTTGTTCTGACAATAATTCTGACCAATAATCAAGCGCCATTTTATTATTAATAGTTGAATACATTCATTTTGTGTAATAACATCATCATCATCATCATCATCAACAGCAACAACAATAAATCCGAGGTTATATTTTATGAGATGAGACTAAACTGACGAGACGTCCACTCTGTTCTGTCCACACTCAGGGACCTTCAGTCCAGCAGCCGGATGAGTCCAATCAGCAGGAAGGGAGGAGCGCTGAGCGCTGCAGGGTGACCCACAGAGTCTGGCTCGCTGCCAGCAGGGTCACACAGCGGACTGAATTCTCCTCAGTCCGAGAGAAAAACCTTTAATTGGTTCTGAATGTCTGATTTGCTATGGTCACTACATTCTCCACATTAATGAGGTCATTTCCCGGCATCTGCAGCAGAACAAACAGCATCAGTCTCGCAGACAGGACAGCAGGACAGCACAGCAGCAGGACAGCAGGACAGCAGGACAGCGCCGGACGCACAGGCGATGAGTGTTCTGATCTGGAGCTATGATTGGTCAGGATGCCCACAGGGCTCATTTGCATACTGCAAACTTCTGAATTTCAAACTTCAGTACTGGAAACACCAATATAATAATAAGGATTAACAAACAGCCGCCCCAGTGATAGATAGACAGACAGACAGACAGACCGACAGACTAACAGACAGACAGACCGACTGACAGACAGACTGATAGACAGATAGATAGATAGATAGATAGATAGATAGATAGACAGACATACAAAGATAGGCAGATTGACTGACTGATAAATAGACAGATACAGAGATAGACAAACAGATAGACAGATCAATAGATAGACAACAGGTAGACACATCGATCGATAGATACACAGACAGATTGACTGACTGATTGATAGATAGATAGATAGATAGATAGATAGACAGACAGACAGAATGATTTATTGATGAATAGACAGATAGATAGACAGACATGCAGACAGACAGACAGCTATTTGATGTGTCCGTCTCCTTTTCTCTGTGAGGTTCTTCTTGATCAGCTACACATCCTTTCAGACCCACAGCGCTGAGTCGTCTTCTCACAGTGGAAGGATGGACAGAAACACCTGTGGATGTTTTCAGATCTGAAGCAGCTTGATTTTCTCCTCTCTCTCAGAGATGAAAGCTTTCAGTGCTGTTTATCTGATGGGGCAGTTTTGGGGTCTACAGGTCTTCCAGGTGGTTGTTAGGAGGAACATTTTCTCTGCAGCTTTTAATCAGTTTTTAAACTCCAGTTTTGGAAACTCATGTATCTTCCTTTGACGTTCTCCTTCATTAAGATAGGGATTATCTGATGTCTGGGCTCCTCAGAAAGATCTCCTGAAAAATCAATAACTTGTACTTAATGGCCGTTTTGACTGGAAGTGAAATAAATGAAGGGGACGGCACAGAACTGTACAGACATATAGAGACATAAATAGTCTATAGTTACAGTCAAAAAGTTGAACGTCATCACTGAGGTTTTGGGATTTTTACTAACCTAGAAACTGTTCCACTACCGTTTGTCCTCATTACCTTCCTACAAACACAACCCCACACACACTCAGCACTTATTGATCACACTGTCTTTACCACGCTTAATAACACGCCAACAGATAAAACACGTGAACTATGAACCATTAGTGTATCATATTACAGGCCTAAAAAACAGACAGAAGCAGCTTTTCATGTATTCATCACACATTCAACATAATGAAACAGTTAAGATGTAAACAGAGCCATTCAGAGTGGTTTGGTGTGAAACGCTCTGTTCTAGAGAAACTTACAGAGTCAGAACTGTTCACAGTGGTGGTGATAGGAACCAGACGTCCACCTCTAAAAGCTCCCTCACAGAAAGTTACTACATGAAATGATTATGAATTCACTGCCTGATGACTGAGACACTGTTTTATGATAGTTTTGTGGCCTAAAATGTACTTTAATCCATTTATTTTTATCTATTCATGGTGGAGGGATACATGCAGGGCGCTCTGAGGCAAAATAGTCCTCAAAGAAAACTTTTTTTTTTTCAGATTTATCACTATTTTCCATCATCAACATTCCATATAAACTCAGAAGACTCGTGTAGGTTCACTGGTGGTTCTGGATAGTAAATAAAATGTCTATATTTGTGTTGTAGTCATGGCAACCCCTGGTTCCTATCACCACCACTGTAAAGACATCTGAACCATTTCACACCAAACCACTCTGAATCTCTCTGTTTACATCTCAATCACTGAAATATGCAGATATTTTAAAAATTGGTGGAGTTCCCCTTTAAGCATAGTCACTATTTGTGATTTTGACTCAGAAAACATCACCAGACAAGCAGTAAAAGTGTCAGTAACTCTTATTTTTCTGGGGAAGGTTTGGAGAACCTCCCCATTTCTGAGCTCTGTCGTTTGGCAGGTATGATCAGTATTTTGAGAACTGAAGCTGAACAGATAATAATGAACTACAGAGCTGAAGCCTTTCCTGTTCAGCAGGATGTGAAAGACTCTTATCACAAACACGCTGGACCGAACAGTGCAGGACTCACTGCTGTCCACTCTGTCATTTCCCTTAAAACAAGCCTCTCCAGACCGCCTCAGACTAACTGAACCCTCCACATCAGCACTGCTGCAGGACAACTCCACGTTCAGAAGACACTTTTACAAGCACTGTCAAAATAAAAGTTCAAATACTGATAAAGTGCTCAAATCCAGCAACGTCAGCAAGAGAACTGTGATCATTTATGCAGCCTGAAGAGCGTAAATAAGATAATTATGTAAACAAATTTGCACATGAAATGTATATGCATGTAATAAAAGATAGAGGCAGATATAATGTTGGGGTGTTTCATTCTATTTTTGAAGATTTGAGACGCTACGCTTAAAATAATTTTAAATACGTCGTAAGATGACTTTTATTTTGGCGGGAGCTCGCTTTAGCGGAAGAGCCAACGCGTTGTGTGTTTCGGCGGGTGAGCTGAGCGGCGGGAGAGCTGTTAAAAGTTTCTGTGAAGTCTAATAAACACTCCGGACTCAGTCTGTGTCTCTGACCGATCTTTAACGGTTTAAGTCTTTATGGTGAAGCTGCTTCTCCGCTGCAGTTCTGATGGAGCTGAGGAAGCTGAGGGGGTGACGGAGTGAGTCTGCTGGGTGAGCTGGAGTGAAGCGGAGAGTGAAAGAGAGTTAAAGAGAGTGAAGGAGAGTGAGGGAGAGTGAAGCAGAGTGAGGGAGAGTGAAAGAGTGAAAGAGAGTGAAGGTGAGTTAAGGAGAGTGAAGGAGAGTGAAAGAGTGAAGGAGAGTGAGGGAGAGTGAAGGAGAGTGAGGGAGAGTGAAGGAGAGTGAGGACCGACGATGCTGCACTCTGAGTCTGAGCCCCAGCTCTACAGTGTGTCCAGGACGCTGTGTGGGATTTCTGCCCACACACTTTGCGCTGCTTTCACCATCCTGATGGCGGCGCTAGCAAAGCCTGGCTCCAGTGAGTAGCCTCATCTAAATCCAGAGAACTTGTAGAGAGGAGAACTGACGCTCTCTAATGTCTTCCGGGTTTCTCAAACACTAGAGGGCGCTCCCGAGCGAGTCCAAAATGAAGGGTTAATATGGAGCCTTTGAGCAAAACCATAGTTTATAAATGATTAAACATTTCATAAAGAAGAAGCCATTCGGTTCCTGAACAGCACAAAACACCTTAATACTGCTGTCACATTTTTGAACATTTTCAAACTTACATTTATAATGTCAATGATTCAGTGAGGCAATGAGTAATGCTAACCAGTCAGTACTCAGTAGCAGCAAGACCAACCAATCAGCGCTCAGTAGCAGTAATGCCAACCAATCAGCACTCAGTACCAGTAATATTAACCAACCAGCGCTCACTAGCAGTAATGATAACCAATCAGCACTCAGTAGCAGTAATACTAACCAATCAGCACTCAGTAGCAGTAATGCCAACCAATCAGCACTCAGTAGCAGTAAGACCAACCAATCAGCGCTCAGTAGCAGTAATGCCAACCAATCAGCACTCAGTAGCAGCAAGACCAACCAATCAGCGCTCAGTAGCAGTAATGATAACCAATCAGCACTCAGTAGCAGTAATACTAACCAATCAGCACTCAGTAGCAGCAAGACCAACCAATCAGCGCTCAGTAGCAGTAATGCTAACCAGTCATCGCTCAGTAGCAGTAATGCTAATCAGTCAGCACTCAGTAGCGGTAATGCTAACCAGTCAGCACTCAGTAGCCGTGATGCTAACCACTCAGCGCTCAGTAGCAGTAATGCTAACCAGTCAGCACTCAGTAGCAGTAATGATAACCAATAGCTCGGATTTCCACAGTCGATCCCTTTTCCCCCGATTGTGGCCCATCAGCCAAGATACGTTTGCTTCTTTGAGTTCTTCACAGGAGCTACGAAGCTAATGTAGCTAACACTTAATGGAAACTTATACCCCACCAGTTAGCATCCTGCTAACTGCCTCAGTCATCACTCACTCGCCTCACATCATGACGAGTTAAAAAGGAAAATAATAACTGGTTTAATAACTAATAAAACTGTTTGCGAGTGAATCTCGGTATCAGGGAGCGTCTCTGAGCTAGCGGAGCGTTTCTCTCCATCACAGGTGGGGGAGAAACATGATATTATTGGATAATATTATTTTTCCCCCACCCACTGGTGCATAGTGACATCATCAAAACTCAGAAGACGTTTTAGAGGCGGGGGAAAGGCTTTTAAATGGGATGATATGATGTATGGGCCCTTTTCACAGAGAGCGTGATTACTTCCGGTTTAGCGACAAACTATGAGATCAGAAAGTGGATGGAAGCTCTGATTGAACTGTAAACAGACCTAAACTGTGTGTATCTGTATGTGTGGTGTAGCCCTGCTTACTGCTGCTGCAGCTGCCTCACATCAAGCAGTCTCTCTGTCTTTGAATAACACGCCAGCAACTTATGTAATATTTCTGTTTTCAAAAGAAAGAAGAACTTTTATATATAGTATGAGTTTGTTAGACATTGTTTAGCTGTAGCTAGCTACGCTAGAGGCCACTGCTAACTGTAGCTGTATTCCCAAACAAGGAAGCTAGCCTTCATCAGCTGCTGGCACCAGCCGGCTGACGTGAAGCAGGTTCTGTGACACATTTACAGCAGCGATTTCTCTAATATTATAAACGCAAACCAGAACTTTTATATGTAAAGTCTATTTGACAGACCTCGTTTAAACTCTCTTTTAGCTTATAGTTATGGCTACAGGCGCTAATTAGCTAGCCTACCATTAACAGTTTAAGGAACACTAACTTCATATCAGTAGCAAACTTTAAAGCTAGCTGGCTAGCTATGTTAGCGATCTGCCAAACAGCATCTTTATTTTAGTTTCATGGCAATTTTTGAAGAAGTACTTCGGAAAACATCCGCCTTTCACGACTCAATCAAAAACGCGATTCCTAGCTAACGTGTATCTTAGCATCGCGGTTATGCGTAAGGTCTCTGACATAATGTGCCAGCTAACGTCAGCTGTTCGTACCAAGCTGATCATGTAAGAATTATTTCGTTGGCGGTTTATCGCCTGCATTAGCTTTTTAAAGATGAGTGCAAAATTAACTTGTGATGCTGCTTTAAGTTAGCCGGGTAATCTGGCGTTAGTTTGGGATAATAGCTAACATTACTGTTAGCAGTAGCTTCTAGCCAGCATAGCTAGCTTAATATAAACGAGTCCATCAAATTCGTGCCACATATATAAGCTCTTCTTTCTTTTCAAAACAGAAATATTAGCGAAATCACTGGCAGGTTGTAGAAAGACACAGAGGCTGTTTGCTGTGAAGCAGCTGCAGAAAAAACAAGGCCGTCCCACACATACAGCATTTTAGCTCTGTTTACAGTTAAGTCAGAGCTTCCATCCACTTCTTATTCTCACTGTTTGTCATGACAGTGCAGGAAAACTAAAATATAGCTGTTGTACCTCAGTATTGGAGCATTATAGTTCACTACTATAACATTTTGTCATCGCTTCTGCAGTAGTTATATGGAACGGAAGCGAGTTTACCCTGCTAACGCTTAAGCCGGAAGTAAGCGCACTCTCTGTGAAAAGGGCCCGTTGTGCTTAATATGACTAGGAACAGATATCAGTTTTGATCTCTAACAGACTTGATGATGTGGTTTCTGACACTGTGACTCACTGTTGTCTGTAAACATGAGCTAAAGTACATCAGCATCGCTGAAAATGTTGGTCTTGAAGTCTGAACACTGTTTTGTCTGTAAGAAGGAAAGGCAGAACTGTGTAGATGTGATTTTTTTGCAGAATCGTTGCTCAAAAGTTGATGATGATGATGATGGGCTCTGTTTTGTCGTTGCAGGTTTGTTCTCCTGGCACCCGTTCCTCATGACGCTGGCGGTGAGTGACGTTTGCGTGATCCTCAGTACAGGATCAGGAGGCTGAAGCTGTATTTAACTAATTTAATCTCAAATGCGTTGTTTTTAATGACGGCGCTCACTCAGCCGCTCAACCAGCCCTGTTCAGTCTTTCAGATAAGCAGACAGCAGTGTTGCCAGATTGGGCAGGTTCCCGCCAGACTGGGTGCATTTTGGTTGGATTTGGTGGGGAAAAGTGTTTTGGCAGGTGGACAGAATTTGGGCTGGTTTATCATTATTTTGGGCGGGTTTTAAAAAAGTATATTAAGTCTATTACTTAACAATCTGACACGTCCAATCAGTTATCAGAACTTTCAGAACTATCACAATTGAGTCACTCCTGGTGAGAGGAGGCCGCTGCCCCGCCCATCTGTTGTGTTTGTAAATGGCATCAGCAGTTAATGTATGAAATTAAAACAAAATTTGAGAGGATTAACATTAAAATTAACGTTAAAAGGTGTTTACTCTCAATACATTGATGAGTTTATGCAACTTACGGAAATAAGATACACATACAAATATGTTTATTGAAAAAATAGTTATGGTTTCTTTGTCCAGGCACTTCATAAATATTTGACTGCCACACTAAAAATTACATAAGAAGCTTTTGTTTCTCTGTATCAGTGATAAAATAAACACTGTTGTTTAAAGGCCAGTTTCAGTGGTTAACACACTCAGAGGCTCCTCATTGATGTTCTGTTGGTTAATTGCTGTATTATTTCATGTTAAAATGACTATAGACTATTTTTAATGCACGTTTGGGGTGTTTTTTCATGCTTTTTTGTGGGTTTCTGGCAACCCTAATGGTGTGGTACCTCAGCTAACGTTGCTGGCCTAGCCTCTTTTTCACCTCGTATCTTCCAGCTTGAGAGTGTGAGTTTTCAGGTGGTAACCTGAAGCTTGATAAATGATGAAAGTGTTAATTCATTAAATTCACGCGAGTGTAAAAATGAACTTGGCCAAATCTCTGAAGCTCAGATGTGGAGAAATACAGGGCAGTTGCAGGACCTTCCGAATGACCCCTTCTCCTCTTTCAAGGAATAGCTCGGCCAAACACGCATGACTGTATCTGCATAATGGTGACTGTTCACTTTCATTGACTCATTTAGAGGTGGGCGATACGGCACAAACGTCACGATACTTCAAGACATTTTCACGATACATATTATTCTTCACGGTATTTAGTTTTTCTGAGATTTAAGAAGTTGGAACAGACAAAATAGAGCCACTACTATGAATACTATTAAAAAAACAAAAAAAAATGTGTACAACCTACAAAACTAGAATGATTTTTTTTTCAGTGTTTCACAAACTGCGCTGGACTAAATCCAATTAAACAGGCCTAATTATGCTCCCTTTGCAATAAAACGTAGTTTTGCTGCCTTCAAGTCCTGTCGGAAATATCGGATTTACAGAATGGATGCACATGAACGCCACCGCAATGTCGTATTTACTGGTGGGAAACTCAGATTTTTCAACGAGTCCCAAGTTACCGAGTTTGAGACGTGTCAAAAAAAGCATTGAGCGTGTTTACATGCACTTAATAATCCGATAACTGCAGAAAATCAGATTTTGTCAGTAATCCAATCAAAGCGTTCACATGCACTTGAGTAATCAGATAATGGGGAAACTCCAGGTCTACATGAGTCAGACAGTAATCAGATTTCTGCTTTGCAACCAGCCAGTAAACTCACAGAAGAAGACGTGACGTAAACATAACATAAATCTGGCGTGGCTTTTTTTCACTTTACCTGAAAATATGAACAAACATCATCTAGATGATGTAGAATATTTAAATCCTTCATTTCGTCAAGCATGTAGTCGGTTTCAGCGTCGCTCCAAAAGAGTTGCTCTGCTCTGCTCGCTTATTATACCGCTGTCTGTTTTCGCACATGCTCAGACTGAGAAATCAGAAAGAAATCAGAGTAAGAGTTCACATGCACTGCTAAAATCCAGCCTCCTCATCAGATTTCTTAATCAGATTTCTAGACCTTACTCCGATCTAAGAAATCAGAGTGTGCTGTTTACATGACCGTTTGAATAATCAGAAAACTGCAGAAATGAGCGGATTATTAAGTGCATGTAAACACACTCGATGATAGCCGCTGATAAACTGTCTGTATTTCAGTTATTATTCAGCCACAACATTAACACTGCAGGCTAAAACCATCCACACATGGAAAAACAGATATGAGCACGTTTTGTTATTCCGACTGCATAAAAACATTACTGTTCTCATGAGCATCTCCTGCTCTTCACCTTGCTTAGAACACAAAATACACAGACTGTGTTTAATGACAGAAAAACAACAGTAAACCCAAAACATTATTTCCAGTTTATCTGTCTTATTTCCAACTAAAACCACTTGAACACAAATTAAGTCGTATTTACGGCCTCGAAAGTCATAAGTAGGAACTTCCGAGGAGGACCTGAAGGCAGCGCTAGTGTTCTTTAAGTACTGATATCCACGATATGCTCAGAAAAGCGTATGGTGAAATAATTTATCACGATAAAGATAAAATATCTTCAACTTATCCACACCAGCTCTCATCACTGACTGTGTTTACATGCAAAGATTTTCTCCAGTCCGATTGAACACATTCTGATTACAGATTCAGACTGAGGCGTTTATTCTCACTCTACTCAACAATCTGATGAAAATCTCTGTTTACATGCTCACTACAAGTAATCACGTGCATGCATAGAGAAGCACTTAGTGTAGCTGTTACCATGACAACCAGCATCACGTGAGTCCAGTCAGAGTGAGATGAGCAGCAGTGAGCAGTGCTTGTGTTTTTAATTGCTTTAAAATGATGTCAGACTCAGGAAAACGTCCTTCACATGTCCTCATTAAAGAAGGCCGAGAGGAAGACGTCGTGTTCTGAGACACATAAGCTGGACGTCCGTCCCACCGCCGCCTTTTAAAGATCAGAGCATAAACTTCGTCTCCTCTGCAGACCAGTTTCTGCTCCGCCATGTTGAACGGTATAAACTTTCACTATGACGTGACGAACATGATCAGAACGGACTTAAACTTTCCGATAGGGAATGTAATCAGATACAGGCGTTTACACGGATATTATTCTTCTATTTAACGGATTATTTACAGGATTACCCACCTCGATCAGTCGGATAGACACTGTATTCCGAATGGCCTCAATCAGACTAGACTCTTCAGATTGAGGTGTTTACATGGACGTATTCTATTCCGATTGAGCTGTTAGTCGGATTATTAATGGATTATTAGGCTGCATGTAACCGTGGCTACTGTTAGCAATATTAGCTTTTGTCTGCACTGTTCCTCTCCAGTGTTAACTGACCGAGCTTCTTCTGCTCCTAGTTCTCCTTCTTCATGACGGAGGCGATTCTGCTCTTCTCTCCACACTCGTCTCCGGTGGTGAAGCTCAAGCACCAGACTAAAGCTCGTCTGCACTGGATCCTGCAGTGTCTCAGCACCTCCTGCGCCGTCGTCGGCCTGGGCGCCATCTTCTACAACAAACACCTCAACGGCAAACCGCACTTCGCCTCCTGGCACGGACTGATCGGGGTTATAACGGTGGGAGTCGTCGTGATCCAGTCGGTGGGCGCGCTGCCTCTTCTGTACCACAAACTGGCCAAAGGCTGGTCGCTGGCCAAGCTGAAGCGCTACCACGCCGCCTCTGGACTCCTGACGTATCTGCTGGGCAGCACCAGCCTGCTGCTGGGCACCTGCTCCGTCTGGTTCACGGGCAGCGTAAGCGGGTACGTCTGGTACCTCGCCGCTTTCTGCCCAACGCTGGCCGCGCTGGTGGTCATGAGTCAGGTCACTAATGCTTACATGGCCAAGAAACGGCTGCAGTATTAAGACTCCAACTCTACTTTAGCCAAACAGTGTGATGCTGTCTGAAGTTTGTTAGAGCAACAGTTTGGGAAAAATCTTTGCAGTAGAGCTCCGAGGCAGAGTTAGCAGGGCGCTAACGGCGTGCCTTAATGATCGTGACTCGCCTCAAACCGTCTGGTTATTAAATAGTCTCTAACAGTCTTGATTGTGTGTTCTCTGACACTGTATGACTCACTGTTATCTATTGAAGCTGTTTTTAGCTACGCTAATGTTCTTTGGTCCATTTCTACAGAAAACGGTGTCTCGAGTCAGAAACCACATAATCAGGTCTATTTTAGGTGTTAGACACCGAAGTCCAGAGAGGCCCATAAAGTAGTTATAGTTTTCTGGACAGTTATGTTGAGATAACGAGTCAATTATCTTGTGATCTCAAGATAACAAAGGTATTATCTTGAGATAACGAGTTATCTTGTGATCTCAAGATAACAAAGTTGTGATAACAAGTTAATTATCTTGTTATCTCGAGATAAGTTATCTTGTGATCTCAAGATGAGTTATGTTGAGACAATGAGTTAATTATCTTGTTATCTTGAGATAGTTATCTAGAAATAGCGAGTTAATTATCTTGTGATAGCGAGTTAATTATCTTATCTTGAGATAATGAGTTATCTTGTGATCTCAACATAACAAAGTTGTGATAACAAGTTAATAATCTTGTTATCTCGAGATAATAAGTTATCTTGTGACTTCAAGATAAGTTATGTTGAGACAATGAGTTAATTATCTTGTTATCTTGAGATAGTTATCTAGAAATAGCAAGTTAATTATCTTGTGATAGCGAGTTAATTATCTTATCTTGAGATATGGAGTTATCTTGTGATCTCAAGATAAAAGTTATCTTGAGATAATGAGTTAATTAACTCGTGATAGTTACTTTTCTTGTTATCTCGAGATAACAAATTTATTATCTTGAGATAATGAGTTAATTATCTTGTGATCTCATGATAACAAAGTGGTTGTGTTGCGATCACAAGACAATTAACTTGTTACCTCAAGATAAGAATCCAGAACATTATAGAAACAGCTCAGGGCCTCTCCGGACGTCGGTATTTAGAGGAAAATGATGTGGTTTTTTTTTCCAAACTGTTCCTTTACAGTAAAATGATCCAGCCAGACGGTCCAGCAGAGAGTTTCTGTACCGGACGCTCGTCTGTGCAGCTCCGCGACTCTGAATGACGTTCGGAGCTGATCTGGAGTTCACGGCACTTTCCCATGACATCGTTCAAGGAATTTCAGAACGTTTAGGAGCCGATCAGTGTTATTAATGATCTCTGAGACACCCATTCAGTATGATTTGTGCTTGTTTTCCACTGGAAATAAACAGCTGCCATGTTCTGCCTTTTGTGTAACAAACACTGCGAAAATAGTGCGTTGTTAAGTGAAATGATATTAAATCCAGCCGATATGTCTAATATTTCCCATTTTCAGATGGTTGTGCACTTATTATAAGATTATTTACTTTATTTATAGATATTATTTACTTATTTTAGGTCATTTTATTAGGTAAAATTATCTCAGTACTGGCAGATCATTTTGCTGGTTTCAAGCTCATTTCTTACAACAAGCAAAATTATCTGCCAACATAGTGAGATAATTATACTTAATAAATTACTCAAAATAGATAAAAATGTCTAGAAATGAGGAAAATAATCTTACATTAAGCTTACAACAGTCTCAACAGGAGAAATATTAGATTTTTTGACTATATTTCAGATAATTTTACTTGACAAGATACCATATTTTGCAGTATAGGGGCGACTCGCGTGTGCTGAGTGTGAAGTATTGAAACGAGGCTGTGCATCCTTACAAATAAATGTGCATGAATTCTTTGGAGCTGCTGAAAGAAAATGGATGATCTCACAGAAAACCTCCATACAGTCCATACAGTCCATATATGGACACTAAACAGCAGCCTGTTTAGAATTTCTGTGACATCACAAAAAACCAACACACATATATTTACATATAGTCTACAGCAGTTTAGCCCCGCCCACTCACACTGAAGTTACAAGGAGTGTTTCAGCCCGGACTGCTTTTTGGCTGAGGCGCAACATGCACAGCCAATCAGAACAGAGCTCATTTACATACATCAGTCTTAAAGGCTCAGTAACAAAAACTGCCTGTTCAGTTGTAATGAATGAAAGCGATTGTGGCCGTTTTCAGTTTATAAACCAAAAGCACCAGCTATGAAGTTCAAAGAACCTCCACCCGATTTAAAGGTTCTAAACCGATTAAAAGCCAAGAACTATGCAGTTAATAACTTGTTCGTTATCGTTCTGTAGAGGCCTTTTCAGGATTGTTGCATGAAATCTCAGCAATTCTGGTAAAAGTCTATGTGAAAACAAAAGCAGGCATGTTTATGATGTCACTGATAGGATGTTTATGAAAAGATCAGGGTCGGATTCACGAAAACTTACGAAGGTTCTTAAGACAAACACGGAGGTTCGTAACAATGTCCTTAAATTCAATTCTCGAAAAAAACTTCTTATGTCGGCTGCGCTGCATTTTACCACGTACTGTAAACCAGAGGTTCTCGACCTTTTCCACCTCAAGGCTCCTGTTTATCACTGGAAAGCATGAAGACCCCCAAGAAAATAAAAACAGTTTTGCTTAAAAATGTCATTTTGGGGAAATTTGCGGTTGGAGAACTGAAAGGTCAGGTGTTTCTAGAGGCAAAGGGCAAAAGATTGACAAAGCCGTTATTGCACCACTTGTATTGATGTTATTTACTGTCTGAAAACATTTTATATTTCTTTTTTATTGTTAAGTCAATTATTTTTTCACTGACAGGCCCACTAAGGACCAATCACCCCCCTCAGGACAGGTCCAAGGACCACCAAGAGGTGCTTTTACGTCCCACTTGTGGTCCTCAGCCCAGTGGTTGAGAAAAATTTAGCAAACAAGAACTGGAGGTGAAGGAGGGAGAAATTAAATTTAAATTAAATTAATTTAAAATTTAAATTTAGATGCTGACCTCGTCAACTCTTACAGCCTGAGACGAGTGAGTGTGTCGTATGGTTAACCCTTGTGTGGTGTTGATGTTTGTTACTCAGTGGTCCGGTGACCCACCACATTATTGTTTTTATATCAATACAGCCATAACAATTTATGTAAAAATACCAGATGTTTAAAATATCACAAGTGTCCAGCGTAGGGTTCTCCTTTAGCAGCTGTAGCCAGTCAGCAGCCTGTCCATGTTGTCCACCCTCACACACACACACACACTAACAGCAGGCCATGTAGGAGGAGAACAGAGTGAAGGACACAGCACCTCCACACTTTTACTCCCCGCAGGTTCACCCAACACCACATGTGTAATATAAATGTGTGGGGGGTGAACAGAGTGAAGACACTGAAAATGGGTTATTTTATATGTTCTTCACATAAAATGAATCTGAGAATCTGAGGTTGAAATAATAATAAATCATTTTTCTTTTGGTAAGCATTAAAAATGGGTCCCACAGACCTGAACACCACACAAGGGGTAAGAACCATATCACTGTTGTCGGAAGAAAACCTTGTATCTCCCATTTTTTAGCTTTTGACATGATTTGAAAATGCCTGCTGCTCTTTACATTGTATGTAAATTGCATTACAAATGGACTAAAAGAAACGGCCCAGAATGACTTATAAAAAAGTTTGGCTCCATTGACTTACATTAAAAGTAAACAAGGTTTTTTCCTTCTGCTGTAAAGTTACCATTTTGGAGATACGAGGTTCCGACAGCAGCGCTGTATATTTTCAGGAATACCACTTGTTCTTACAATTATTCTTAAGAAAATAGTTAAGAAAAGAAAATAAGAGAATTCTTAAGACGTTATTTGAAGAATAACAATTTCTCATAACTTTTTTTCTTAAGAATGAAGTTTAGAAAAAACACACATTTAAGATTTTCCTTCTTTCGTGAATCCGGCCCCTGGAATGTTTCTGGGTCGGCCTGTAATCCTGATGCAGACTGAACAGAGAATAGATGAGAGTGGACCAGCTGCACTGCCTGATACTGTCTGATATTATTGATTGATTTTGTTATTAGATAATGCATTTTGAAGTGACCTCAACATTTGGAGAAATGACCTCTTCAGTGATGGGGGCCAGTCTCAGGTATTACTGTAGAGAGTGTAATGTAATAAGTACATATGCTCAGATTTGATTGGATATTTTGTTCTTGTGTGAAAAATATTAAATATATAATGATGATTGTTACGTCCACCTGCTTTGTATCTACATTCATTGGCCATTTTATTGGAAACACCTACCATATAGGACCACTTTGTAGGTTTACGGTCACAGTCTGTAGCCCATCCTTTACCCCGTTTATCAGTGTGAAGAGACCACCACTCACCAGGTATTATTTGGGTGGTGTTCCAATCCTAGTGTGTGTGTTGCCGTGTGTCTTTACAGGTCAGCGTCTCTGCTAGGTCGAGAGTAATGCGGTCACTACTGATTACATTAATAAGTAGGTAATCTGCCCATTATTTTGCTGATTACTTGAGTAATCAGTTTTTTTAAAGGCTAAGTAACGAAAACAGGCTTAACTGAACAATAACATGCTGTTCAGTGTATTTCTAAGACTCTGAAATGCTTTGAAAGCCTTTCAAAAATACTTTATTTTAAAAGAAACGGGTAAAAATATGCATAATTGTCTCCATTAGAGCCCCTTTACTGTAAGAGAGACCAGCAGAATTTAGAATATACATTATCAGTGTATCTGCAGGCATCAGCTAATTCAATCTGATTTATTTTTTTGCATTTTTAAATGCTTTTAATTAGTAATTTTATGCACCTGTCATGGTTATATATCATTATATCATTTCATAACCACCACTATAATGCTTATTTCTGCTAGCACCTAGGCCGGTCACAGCTATTCCATAATCACCTGATCAGTTATTTGAGCTGACTGCAGTCGTTCGCTTTCATAATTGTATGTTTATCACATATGAAGTGACTGAGTGCATCATCTGTTGAACTGAGGCAAATACATGTAAACAAAACAAAGCAGAAACATTTATCAAGGCACATTATGGGTCTTCCGAAAACAACAAAAGACGTAGCTTCTGATTGGCACCTTTAGGGGGCAGTGCTGAGTAATGTTTATTTGAGCTTGAGGTGTTTCTGTCATTGGTTGGGAGCGACTAGGCTCCTCAGCTCCACAGTACACAGCATACAGTGAACAATTATTTATATGGCAGTTAATAGTTAAAAATGTCATTGTGACATGCGAACTAGCACCTGTATAGGAATTCCAATGTTATGGTGTAGACACACCTCCTCACGCAGGGTTTAATACTACTTAAGCCAGCGCTGCTTAAATGCAGACCTTTAAAGCTTTTAACAGACATTCCAGTGGCAAATTCTTTACTATTTAAAGCCCAAGTGAAGGTTACTGGAGCAAAACACTTCAACTTCGAGGTCAAGCAATCTGCATTACGAGATCCTGCTGGTGTGGG